GTGTGCCATGAACGGACCTGTCAGCTAAGTAGATGCCACCTTGGAAATCCAGCAATGCTAAACTTATGAGTCGTTTGTACGTGTGCCATTGTTCTAGTACCTGATGGAGTGTGAAGATTCGGTCAACTCGACTCCTACCAGGCCGAAATCCCGTTCGCCGCTCTCGAGTGAGTGGTTGACAAGCTATCAGAAGGCGATGTGGAAGAATTGACGCCAAGGGTCTCGTTACGACTGGGGGTGGCGGTAGAAACGCTGTTGGACGTGGCACGCAACCGATCCAAGTGACGCGCATGCTATCAGTTCCAATCTGGACTGTCTAGCTAAGGTTCGCCTGTCGTTGTTTGCAAAGGACGCTAGGTTGATCCCACTGATGGCGCCCTACTTCGACACGACATAAGGCGTCTTCGTAACAAGTCCTACCCTTCCCGTTTCTCGCATGTTTGTATGGCGGTTATATAATAACAATAATCGTTCATCTGTACCACCCTTTAGGTGCCTATCTACCATGACACCCGAAGGAAGCACGAGGACTGCCAGGTTGCCCAAGCCTAGACAGGGGAAGTCGAGAGGCAGAGGTCGGGTTCGAACCACGGACCTTCAGGCCAGTAAATTCGCGCTCCAACCACTGAGCTATCTCCAGCAGTTATGCACCAGCATATATTACCGGTTTATTGCTGTCAGCGCTAATGATGATGCAGATCGCTCAGTCAAGATTTCTATGCCTTCGAGGTATCGAGTACGTATAGTTGACTAATCTAATCACAGTGTCGATCAACTGTCCCACGACGGTTGATAAACACGTTCAAGTTGCCCACTGGCACATCATGAACGGTAACTGTACAAGACTTAATAAGACGTTCACTTTAGTTACATAACACGGTGCGGGTTAGATTGTTGAGAATGCTTTTTGGGCTCATTATGCAGGTGCGGTCATCGGATTTCCGTCAACTTTGGATTCTACCTACACACCAAAGTGTACGCCAATGGCGAAGTTACACCGAAGTTGTTGATATAATAAATGGGATAGTGAGTTGAGCCTCCAATGAACACCAATAAAATCTGCAACTACGTGTACATCATCAGGACGTTCACTCACTCGAAATTGATTATCGAAGCGTCAGTGTGTGTTATTCTCTAAAGTCGTCCTCAACGTGCGGTAACCCCACTGAGCCAATGTCAAGTCCTTTGGATATGCTGAACCAATTAAATATCTTCATAAAGGAAACTACTCACAAGATTGCTGAAAACTCCTTGACAGCCCACGACCGGTTTTGCCCTTCCTGGGGCTCATCAGGTAGGCGCAGTCCCCGAGTTTCCGTCAACCTTATGTTCTACTTGAACCCAAATTGGATTGCTTTCGAGAATTACACTCATTTGCAAATCAATCTGATTTTCAAAAGAGACAACTGAATCTCTCGTTCAAGCAGAACATAAGATTGACGAAAACTCGGGGACTGCGCCTACCTGGTGAGCCCCCAAGAAGAGTCAAACCGGTCGTAGGTTGTTGAGGAGTTTTCAGCAATCCTGTGAGTAGTTTTCTTCATAAAAATATACTGCGATATCTAGAATATCGTGCGAACTGAAACATGAGGCCTGTGTGCAGCACATTCAGTTGCAGAACAGCATAAACAAGAGATTCAGTTGAGTCTCTCGTGAAAACCAAATCGATTTGCAAATGAGTGTATTTCCCAATAAGATACCTGTTCAAATGAGCTCGAATTTCCAAGCCAGGGACGTGAAACAGTTAATTTCAGACGCCGTAAATCTAACTTCGTGTATCTAGCCACCACTACCACAAAGATTTCACCCTGTCAGTAGGGCCAATCCAAACTAAAAGGACAATACGCACTGTACAGCTGATTCACCCTTGTTCAGAATCATTAGCAGCGCGAATCCCTCAAACTCAGGTGGTTTCGAACCTGCAACCTCTCGGTTGAACACGAATGACAGATCAGCAGTGTGATTAGCTCTCATTTCGACGGGACATAGCGCCACTCATCCCTTAATAAGTGAAACCGCCTGACGTGATCGTATATTGACTAGCTCCTCGAGTGACTTCTCAGGATTGGCCAGATGCTGCCCCTCAGTCATAAAAATACCTGAAGCAGAACAGCTTCCGGTCACCATCATCATCAATGCCATGGACAGAAAAACAACCGTGTTCAACAATAATGCCTCACTGATGCTGTCAATCATGGTATTTATGTATCAAACTGGCGCGAGGACCAGACAGCCTCCAATTCCCTGCCGACTTTTACTGCACGAGGGTCAAAACGAACGAACACAAGCTTACAGCAAATAGATAAACAAAGTTGGCATCATAATGTGGATTGATCTGGGTAAGGAATCGACCTACACCGACGATCGGGCTTCAATACCAGTGTGACGGTGATACTACTGATCGGGAGGCACGCGAGCAGTATGTGTTGTTCGTAGGATTTCGCTTTGCGTCGACTGAAAAAGGGAATTCTGTTGCGGAATTCGTGGGGCCACTTTGTAACGTTTGCTTGGATTTGACCGACGAACAAGTGGAGGCAACGAATCTCTAGGAAGACTCGTTCGGAAGAAGATCTGTGTCCAGTTTTTGTAACTAAGATGCAGGTTAGAGTTTCGCTTCCCTGTTCAATGGTCTGTAACCGGTCAGTTGGCATTTCCGAATAAATAACTCTGCAGCGAAGGCCTTCTTCCTTTCACCAGTATACGAGCTCTAAATCCACCTGGCACCGATGATCATCGGACGCCGCAAAATCGTGCGTCAAAGGACGGTTGGCATATACAGTGTTGAACTCGTTTCCAAACGCGGCAAGCATAGGCTGTGAGCTCTCTTTACCCAACGGTCATTCTCACACACCACCTTTCGCAAAAACACCCACTGAACAGCTTCTGCATTTCGATCCATCAGCGTGACAATGCCCCACCTTGTGTTCTCTCGCAAATGCCACTATTAATACATTTCCAAGCATGCATGTCCTCAGCTGTAAAAATTCACAGCAACAGTCGCTTGTTTCGTTTAAAATGGTAAAACCTGAATTATTTATTTCAACCCTAGACTTCCCCCAGAATCCTGGTTAACCTAGACCATTGCTAGTACGCCACAAGCATGCAAACTTCTCCAAGTGTCGATGTTTAGTCAAGTCGCGGATTTTCTGGCTACGCTTCTCGCGCGAGATGTGGTGGAATGGACTACATTTTGGACAACGGACAAAAAACGTGTTCGCCTGGTTTACGTCACCATCCTCCATATGTAGGTGTTTTTCGCCATGAAAAATAGCTCGCTTACGTCAATAAAGCAGAGCCTATCTATCTACCAGCATATAGTACGTGTGGGCTGACACACTGCTCACAAATTTAATTTTTTGGCGGAAACTTTCAGAACACCATCAACATGACTGGGAATCGCGAAATCCCACAAAGTTCAGTTCAGCGGTTACTGAGAAGGGAATAATGGAAAAAATTAGATTTTCGGCCACAACTACATGTAGCTTTCCTGGTGAACTGGACTATGCACTTTCCATGGGATTCGAAGATTGTAAAAACAACTTCACTGACGGACAGCCAGACGTCCATGTGATGAAATTTGTGCCGAAGCGATGAGAAACTGCAGATGCTCAGAACGGATGCAAGACCCCATAAACTACATTATTTATGGTCATAACACATTTTTGGACATGACTGTGATCAAATTTCTGCTACACCTGTAGAGTTAACCTCAGCGGATGTAGTGAATGGAACAGCCAAACATCATCGGCATAAACCCGTCTAGCCGGTGGGCCCTGGAAACTCTCGATCCGATTTAAATCCAGACTGTGGTGGACTAATCCGTGATATGGATACTATGAAGCAACTGAAAACAATAAGGTGAACTAGATGTTTCATGCCGCAAGGCTGTAAATCCCACTTGTTTCCCTGGAACTGAAGAAAGTATGATGTCAGTGAATGCTTCCCCATCAGAATCGCCAGCTGAGCTTTCCCATCCGTCTGAGTACGATTGAAAACCGCTCTAAGTGCGCCCACTTTGGCTCACGGGTTTCTACATGACTGTCTGGATTATCATGACCGAATAAACACCTCTGTTTTCCAAGTGGAAGTGTGCTGAATACTACAGAAACACGCACGTGCAAGGCGATAGAGGTCACGAGAATACATTTTAGAAAATGAAACTGTGCTCGCCTCTTGGGATCGTAAAAGTTGAATTAACCGTTCCATGACCCCATGAAAATGCTCTCGCCTAGTAGATCCTGAAATGCACGGATATATCCAAGGATCCGCTCGTAACAGGAAAAGAAAATAGCCATATGTTTACAGCCAAGTCTATTCACGCTGTAGACGTTGAAGGCGCCGAGACCATACTGTTCAGTACAGATCGGCGGAATAGAATAAAATGTTACCCTTTTGTTCACCCAGCCCAACCAAACAGTACGTGAGACCGTAGAAATCCAAAAAGTTGGCCGTGCAAAACGATCAGTAAGCTATACTTCACACAGAGCCGAATAAAGATGTACACATATACAAGCGAGTTCGGGTCTGCGTATGCATGAATTACCGTGGCAGAACTCCCAGTAGTTTGTACATGCAAATCCTTCTTACAGCCAGGCATTGTTAGAAAACAAGACGGGAACTTTGAAAGAGACGGACAACAGGAAAGAAACCTGCCACGTCTGTGGACAATCATTTGAAACAATCGCTTCAGATAAAATAAGTATGAGAAAAGCTTGCCGAGCAATGGGTCGCGGAACTAGATAATAGACTGGAACATAAGAAAATGGCATAGTGATTGAGTTTAGTCCACTTTAGTCTCAGCAATCGATCGATAATAGGACACAAGTGTTACATGAAAGCACATTGGTTTTGTTTTGTCCTCAAAACATCAACAGCCGATTCGGGGACAAATAAAACTATTTGAAAGTTAGAGGAACGTAGAAACTAATAAAACAGCATTATGAAAATGGCTGTAAACAGCCTGTGTGCACGAGTGACTGCTTTAACTGTTTGCCAGTACCATGGATCCAGTACTGGACTTCCTAGATGGGACGTTGTCAATGGACCATTCCGTGCGGTCTGCTCTAGCGCAGTCGAAATCCGACGAACAAACCGGAACATCGGGACTATCGGGAAAGTAATCGGATGGCTCTGACTGGATGGAGCGGTTTCGAATATCTGTGGTGCAGACTGTTGGAGGTGGATCGGCGGTAATAAGAGAGCTGCTTTTCCGATTCGTATCAACGTCCATGACCGACACTGGCAGTTCGGTGATTCCAACCGCCTGTGAAGCGGTGAGAAGACGTACGGGACTGGCATCAGTCACGTTGAGACTGTCACTAGAAGTGACAGTTAGACTGTTGGCTGAGGAGGAGGTGTGCAACACTGAGGGCTATCAGGAAGGAATAAACAGAGAAAACATGCAATGAGGCCATTAGGAATTAAATCTTATCACGCAGAGTAGTGAGAAAGAGTCATATTGAGTTCATGGTGTGTATGTGATGTCACAGCGCTTAATCCTAGCTGCAATGTATTGGCTGCACCAGACAGCACCGACACATTGCAAAACTGACACGAATAAGAGGCATCTAAATCGTACGCCATTTTTACATCACGAGTACTTGTCACATCGGGGTTGACCAGTGGGAAAAACAATCATGACATGAAGAGCAGATTATCAACAAATTAACAAAGCACAAAGATAGAAACAGTAGTTAACGATTATGCTACAGGACGGATTGTCCACTGCGTGTTGAACAGCCAAGCATCACAAGGTGAAGAAAGTAACGGAGGCGACAGGTAACTTCGGGGCGTCTTCTGGACATCAATGTTGGACGGGGGAGGCGAAGGGAAGTACTATCCACGAATCAAAGAAATGATTTCGGATTAGATACTAAGACATTGAGTGTTGCGAAAATGCATTCAAGGCCTAAACAGTGCTGCGCGCCTCACTGATTGTGAAGCTAGCACGCCGATGCTGCCGCACGCTATATTTGTATCTTGCATCATGAGGCCTACGCATGTCTGCACCAGGTCATCAGTATCCAATCATGACTTGGTGCTACCACATGTATTCTGATTCAATGGACCAGATCGCTGTAGCTGAAGGGCGCAAACACTAGCAAACGGTATCCTTCGGTTAACTACGGTTGCGCAGGTACATTTGTCGCCCAGTTACCGACATTATCAGAGCAGTGTCTTTGCCTCATAAACTCACCGAGATTGGCGTCGCCGTCGAGCTGGCTAACGGTAAACCGGATTGGTACAGCTAAGCACGGTGCAGGATTTATGGGTTTACCGGTGCACACCTCGTACGCCACTGCAACCAACCGAAAGCCTTGCCTATCGACCGCCATGTGTGGGCAGAGGAAATCCAGGACATTCACAACGCCCGATCATTCTCAAGCAGGAGACAATCGAAGTCGTGCGATTGGCAGCTAGCCAGAGGTTAACAGGAAAGAAGGTCCACCGTAAAACGCAGTGAAGCATCTCAGTGAAGTCCAGGAATTGACAACGATAACGAATTTCGGTACCATCACAGTGGTGAGCATTGACATCGATGTCAATTAACATCGATTAACAATATAACGTAATTTGAGTCTAGAGGATAGGTGTGCTAGCAAGATGCAACCTCCAACAGTCATATAGCCTATAGTGCACCTTCTCAAAAAAGCTTGACATTCGAAACACACCTGGAAACGTCTGGGACATCAGGAGCAGTTCGCAAGTTCTTGTTATCAGGTGAGAGTACTACCTTTCTTGTGGTCTAAGCATACGGAATGGAATGCCCTATCAAACTAGGGAAGCCAAACACAGCCAAATAAGTGAGCGGAAGGTGAACAACTGCAGAGAATGAACAAAAGTTGCACGGTGATAGCATGAGGTTCCCCATTGATCAGGGACAATGCCCCACCTCACGGCTCTAGTTGTCACACCCAGATTATCGCGAATATGTGCGTTGGGTAGGGAATATTTCGAGCATAGATGGAGATCTCCACAAGGTAGACCTCGATGTGCCGGTAGGCGAACTATGTGAGCATGGATACACTATATTTTCTTGTATCAACGAAAAACAAAGACAGGCTTTTCCAGGACGCATGTTGCGGTGAACAACGAAATTCAACAACTGAAAGTCAGCTATGAGGATGAACAAGTGTTGATAAGACAAGCAGGAAGCCAAAAAACGAGAGAAAGAGACAGTGATCAACCGAGTGGATGTGGGAACTCACAAACACGACTGGGGCCACCCGGTTATTCCCAATTATCTCAGCAACCTTCAAGAAGTAGGGTCGCATTAGAGGTCAAAGTATTGAAACCGTGAGATACGTGATTTCGCGTTTACTTCTACTATGGAAAATGATAAGTCTGAGTTATACTGCAAAGTCTTTGGGCGCGAAGTTCTGATGATGCCGCCTTGAGCTAAAGGTCAGCTACGGGGATTCGGTGTTGAGCCCGCAACCATACTAGCGCATTTCATGTAACCCGGGATGTCTGTTGACAGTCATCAGTGAGCTAACGCTAACAAATAGCATTTAAGGATGCCTATTTTTGGGACAGGTAGATGAATTGGTCAGGCAGTTCAGCTCATGGATGGAAGGCAGCTAGAGCGAGGGCAGCCAATTGCCAAGCTCGGCGAACAGATTAACAGGCATCTGATCAACAACCAATACGAGGGCAGAGAAAGATGGTACTGAAATGGATCAGGAGAACTTGAGTCAGTTAGGAGTGGTTGTTTCCAGCTATCAGACCGCTGCTAAGTTTGTTTCAATTCGAAATGATACTGATTCTAAAAGCCTGCAAACATGAAACAGAGCAATCACTGTATCTTGTCTACAAGTGCGATTGGGGAAGGTAAACCACATTTGCAGGAATATGTTATGGGCCGAAAATAAATCGCCTGGTGACATGACTGGATTGAGAGGCAGCTAGAGGGCAGCCAATTGCCAAGCTCGGCGAACAGATTAACAGGCATCTGATCAACAACCAATACGAGGGCAGAGAAAGATGGTACTGAAATGGATCAGGAGAACTTGAGTCAGTTAGGAGTGGTTGTTTCCAGCTATCAGACCGCTGCTAAGTTTGTTTCAATTCGAAATGATACTGATTCTAAAAGCCTGCAAACATGAAACAGAGCAATCACTGTATCTTGTCTACAAGTGCGATTGGGGAAGGTAAACCACATTTGCAGGAATATGTTATGGGCCGAAAATAAATCGCCTGGTGACATGACTGGATTGAGGCTCGAAAACCGCAAGGATTTTTGTAGATCCTAAACTCGAGTCATGCCCTAGACCCGTTAAAAAACCGCTAAAAACCGTCGGATTATGGACCAAATAGTGAACAAATTATAATGGTGTACGTGAACAGACCCCAAAACCTCTTGCTAAAACTGCATACCCCAAGGTAGATTGGGGGTCGAACTTTCCAACATAATGCCATTCTGTTGCAATATACAACCGGGGTCACAGCCCTACCTAAAGTGCTAACGGGACAACACACGTTCTTGAAGAGGAATCAAGAGGAATCTAGGTACGCAAATAAACCTCAGAAGGAGACTTAGGTTAATAGCTAAAAAATGGCAGACAAATGTCTCAGAATGCATACCAAAAAGACTAAGGGGAAATGGGTATTAAGGAAAAAGAGAGGAACAAACTAGGGATACACAAAGTAACGACAACTGCCAGGCTCGGCGAACAGACCAACAACCAAGCAGCGCACCCAAGCTACCTACATTCACAAACATTGCTAGTAACGACAGACAATCAGATTACTTGCAGCCACTCAAGGATGTCAAACAGTGAAACGATACTTAACGGATGGACGATGTGGAATGCATTAAGTGGAGCCATGAGCGGGCACGATTGGTTCACTGTAGCCGAAGAAATAAGAAACATTTAACCAACTTCCTAGTCCAGGGCAGCTATGAATCCAGAGAATGTGCGTAGCGATCATGAGACTACCCAGGTTGTTCACCCAGGTGCTATTTCGATGTCAGACACAGAATATGCGCGTAAACAAACGACTGTCCAGTCAATTGCCCGCTCGTTGCATTATCACAGACAGACCGATGAGACGTCTGTCTGGGGGTTGGCTATCAGTCCTGAAGCATATATAAACGGTCCAGCTGTAGCAATCTTTCAGGAAAAACGAGGACCGAGATACTGCCAGATTGCCCAAGCCTAGACAGGAGCAGTCGAGATACAGAGTTCGGATTCAAACCACGGACCTTCCGATCAATAAGTTCGCGCCTCAACCACTACCCCATCTTGAAACATTCCTCACCAAGAATCTACTTTACCTCTTCACTAGTGTTCTGCATCAACCATAGGGAGTTCACATTAACTGTCTTCTGCAGACAAAGTAAGAGTGAAGCTCGACACGGTTAACGGTTGGGTAACTTGTGTTCGAGGTTTGGAAACAGGTGCATTAAACGGTATTGCATCTGGTACCAAAATAGACTGAAGCCAGTTAATTCTGTCTAAACCACTATGTTTTAGAATAACAACATGCAGTATTCCTCAGTTGTTGTCCGCATACACACTGGAGATGGAAAACTCACAAATAGTGTACAGTGCGCAAACACCGTCGCCAGTACGCCTAGATCCTAATGCATGATGGTATCAGCAGCGTGGGAATACAGGAATATGAGGAATAAGAGGAGCGGCTTAATAACACGTGATCCAAGGTAAGTGAAATTGTCTTGTGAAAGCTGGCTGCACACCCCAACTTCGTATCATATCTCTTGTACTACTCATCTAACGGAAGCGTGGCATCACCCGATACATAACTCTTCCCAGCGCGACAGAGAGGAAACTGGTCGTTTCAGGGATGAAAGGACAATATACTGATATAGAGTGGATGTTAGCGACGGGGTGTGGTTATCTGAAAAGGGCGGTGACGTGAAGAAACGGTGATTTCGAATAGTTTCCGGTACTGCAGACTGCTCTCTCACAGCCTGGTTATATGTGGGTTAGTAGGATAAAACCGAACCTGGGAAGAAAAATATTACACCCCCTATTGCCATTTTTGAAACGAACCTTTGCAATTCGATTGGACAATATTCGGAGAGACACCGTTTGGTGCGAAAACACGACAGGGGTTCAGGAGACTTACTGAGTGTAACTGTAGAGCGGGGCTGGGCAATTTGGGGGCCGGAATGTCGGCTGAGGAGGTTTTGGGTGCACTTCGTTTGCTTTCAGGAGGCTGCTGCTTTGGTTCCTCCCGTTGTTGCTCGGAAAGCCGAGAATAGTGAGAAAGCCGTTCGCGAGTGGCTAGAAGGAGAGGCTGTGGAAGAAAATAAATATGCGAAAACTAAACAGGACACAGGCAATTTTTCCTGGATTTCGCAGAAACTTGAGGTGAGTAATGCCTAACCGTGAGCAAGCAGAAGTTCGGAGGATGATGAATTTCTAAGTACAACTGGAAAGCCTGATAGTACGGAGAGCCGAAACGGTGAATCTATTGAGCACAGGTCTACAAACGAGCCGTGACCGACATTGTACCACGAGTGGGGGCGAGATGGCCCAAGTGGTTAGAGCGCGAATTTGCTGACCGGAAGGCCCGTGGTTCGAACCCGACCTCTGCCACTCGACTTCCCCTGTCTAAGCCTGGGCGACCTGGCAGTATCCTAGCCCCCGTGCTTCCTCCGGGTGTCATGGCAGCTGGGCACCAGAAGGGTGTTACAGCCGAACAATTATTAATTATTTTGTACCACGAACTATGATGGAACGTAACATAAGAGGTTTAGGTGTTCAGGCATTGGAACCACATTGAGGTGGGTGAAGCCTGTTAAATTGGTCATAATCCGTATGGAAATAAGCATATGATTGGTAATGACGTGGGAATGAGGCACGAAGAATCCAAATGAAGACCTAATCTATGAATGAAACTACTCACATGGTTGCTAAAAACTCTCCGACCTGTTTCGCCCTTCTTCGGGCTCATCAGGTAGGCGCAGTCCCCGAGTTTCCATCAACCTTATGTTCTAATTGGACTCAAACTGGACTATTTTACAGAAACACTTATTTGCAAATCAACTCGGTTTTTACAAGAGACTCAACTGAATCTCTCGTTTATGATATTCTTATCCGTATCTGCACTTGCTAGGCATACGCACACGAAGAAAGCGGGTTTCCGCCAGTAAGGTATCAAAGACTGTCGACAACCCCACGAAGTCACTAGTTAATTATTACTTCCAATGTCCTCAACGGATACCGTCGATTTACCTGACGCAATGAAATATTCCTTTCGCTAATTACCAAAGGTTTCAGTCAACAACATCGCCCCACCAATGTTAAGAGGAAATAATAAAAATCGAGTATAGACTCGGTTATATTCTTTAACAAGAAAAAGGCCAATCTAACTTACTCGAGTACGGCAGAGCACAGCCGATCGTAGGGAAAGTCGCATGTATAAGAAACCATCCAGATTTTGTCTTTTACTTATCCCAACAGATGATATTATTGATAAAGAAATTCATGAGTTTCTGTCGGTGTACTAGTAATCTGTTCTGAACAATAATGAGGTGTCCTGTTCACAAAGTGTCAAAAGCAAAGTTGTCCAGTCCACGGTCATCTTACAACGAACAAAATGACCCTATCTGATCAAGACAACGAGCTACCAACCAGCAGCTTGTCGTCATAACTCCGATCGCTGACAACACCACCGAAAAACAATGGTTGCGGATAGTCGCACAATATCCAGAAATTTAAATGAAATCCATACTCCAAAAAAAGAAAACTGGGTCAAGGAGATGGGTCTGGCTCAAACCTACAACCCCAAAACTCAGCTAGACAATCTAAATGGGAATATGAACGTCACCAATACCGTTTGGCCGCTATACCATTCGGTCTCTGACTATGCGAGTCATGTGAACTTCAACCGAGAGACACCGACAGCATCCAAAGCCTCATTTCTTTCCGCTAATTCATGCAGTTCATCATTTTTCAGAGGTCGGGTCCATTTGTTGGTTTAATTTTAATCACATGGAAAACATCACTACACGGAGACTGAGTAGGGTGAAAACGAGCCGAGTGGTCATAGCTATGCCCTGGCGACAGCAATGAACGATTAACCCAGGTTCAGTGGATTTCACAAACAGCGAGAAAGACAAGATTCACCGACGACGCACCACAAGTACTAAGCAGGTTTTGAACTCCGGGACAACCATGAGACCTTGAATGATCTGATAAACTATACCCTCAGTTGACGTACGATTATCTCGGTGTAAGGGCTACGCCTTTCAAAAACTATCAGTCTGTAATCCCAAGGCTCGGCTCAAATTTGATTTTCCTGTTTAAAACACGAATTTGAGCTGCATTCAAGGAGTGATTCATACCATGAATACTACACTATACTGTACTGTTAGACGGACTTAGCCACGGTACACACAGATTACACTCCAACCCAACACTCTACCATATTCACCCCCATTTTCACCTTATAAACCTTGTTAAAACCTATCTAGCCATTCTTCCTGTGTAGCGAGACCTGTGAGGTTGACCGTGAAGTTTTCTTTCACAAAATAACAGCGGATTCCAATCTGTTTGTTCAGACTGGAATATGACTTGCTAGTAATTGTTTTCAATGTCTGAAATTGAAATCGTCGACTTTTTGCTGATGATACACCGTCATCACACCGGAAGACGCTACAAATACGTCACTCATGAAGGCAAAGAAAGTCATCCTGAGGGATGGATAGGCTGCGTAATCAACAAGCAGCTTTTGGCAACGTCCATGGATAGGAGAGGTCGATAAGTTTTTGTCACCCTTCCCAACCAGTCTCAAAGAGAAAGTTCAAAAGATCGACAGTCGCCTAGAAGTCGAGAATGCGACAGCAGAGGTGACTGCACGCCTAAATGAAAGCTACGTGCAAATGCTACATGACAGCAAAGAACTGTTGTTCACCAAGGAATGCCATGAAATAGCTACGTAATGAGGTTTCCAAGCGTTCGTCACAAAGCACTGACGTCAACAAGTTTAGTCACGAATTCATTAGTAATCCCGACCCAGCTACTACATCAGGTGCTTACCATGAGTGTATCCTTGTGGTTAGTATGACAACTATATCAACTTCGGACCGATAAAGCTAGCGGCCGGTTTGTCAAGTTCCGAACCGCTCATTTGTGATATCTAACCGTGCGTGATGCCCACACTTGAAATCATGATCATCTAGATCGTTCAAAATCACATTCAGGCATGTGAACATTTGGCAGGCTTTTGCTTAGCATTTTGGTTAGCTTCTTGACCTGAAGAGGTGAAGCAATAACGTAGTGCCGCATATTATGAGCAGGATTCTGATCGCCACACAAAAAATAAGCACTTTTGCCTGTTGAGTATCACTGCATGACCGTACCAATCATACCGAATGTGACTAGTGACATGGTCCACAGTGTCTACTTAGATCCTGAAATGCTTCTCGGCTTTTCCGCATATATTAGCTTCGCTTAGAGGACGAAATCTCCACAGATCCTGAAGTACTTTGATGTAAACCCGCAAGACCTGAATGTCCGACTGGAGATGCCTACTACTAACTACTGGTTAAGGAGGTGGAGTTAAATCTCCCCTATGAATATTCACTATAGGCTATGGCAATTCCTATCAATGCCGGAGCTGTTTATCGAACGAAACACGTGCGCAGAAATTCAATGTTGTGCGAACAAACTTAGTGGCTGAGATAAACTAAGCGGAAAAGTCGTTTGGAGATAACAGGGAAATTCTGTCCTTTGGCCACAAGTGGATAACCGATAGTTTAGTTATAAACACAGTTTCCTGGTCCTTTGGGTCAGAGGCAAACAATGAATGGCAAATAGTCGTATGATATATGAAGACCTCTTGTAATCATATTCCGACCATTGCTGTCCTCTGGTTGCACTTTTGAGCAGAAATCTTTCGCTGAGGATTCTACTCGTCTTCAGCAGCACGGTAGTAGCCTAGCTAGCAGAGGACAAGAGTAACGTAGGTCCACGACAGTGTTTAAAAGAGACTAAGATTCAGTCAACATCGTCGACTTTCTCACATGCGTGTCTTCTGCATCCTCTGATTACGTCTGATTATCCATAGGTAGTATGCAATTGAACACAATACTGGTAATCATAAAATAATAATGGTTCATGGTCGCTCAGCTGTAATGCCCTTTTTGTGCCTAGCTGTTGCAACACTTGAATGAGGCACAAGGGCCGAAACACTGCCCGGTTGCCCAAGACTATACAAGAGCGGTCGATGCCACGGTTGGTTTCGAACCACAGACCTTCCGGTCGGTAAGTTCGCGTCTTAACAACTGAGCTACCTGGACTTTGGAAAATTGACAGCTCAGGTCGTTTACTGTGCTGCGCAATCAGGTTGAAAACGCCTCATTATCAGTGTAGTCGTTGCGAAGCGGAGCGGTACGGTGCGATAAGTAGTTACGCGGGTACATATATATATGTACTACTGGAGGGTCTGACCTTTCATTGTGATTGTTTGCTTGCGTATGCAGTTGGATGGCTCGTTAACCTGTGTGACGTGATTTCTGACCTTGTCTTCGAGCCCAGTCAATAAATCGGCTTTCGTAGTGACTAGGACAAAAACGGACGAATCGTCAATCAACACTGCATGCCCACCTGGGCAGCTGTATCAGTCCCGGTGGTCTCGCGAAAGATGATATTTCCATCCGGATTGGGAAGGCCAGAGCAGCTTTTGCGAACCTACGTCACCTGTGGCGTAGGCGTGTGTTACGAATAGAATATCGATTCTGTTTAAGCGCGAGAGCGAGAATAAATAGCGTAGAATGAATTGCCCTTTACTTGTCTAAGAATAGACGTACATAAGCTGAAAATGAAGGCGAAAGCATGGTTAATACAAAACGATAATGTGAGCACAAAGAACATTCATGACATTCACCCTGGCCGTTGGATTGTGTGTAGATGGATAAATTGGGTACAGGTATTGGATGAATGATTGTAAAAATCTAATGAGTAATAATGAGTGTGGTTAGGCTTCTCAATTTCTTAAAATGTAGGGCCGTGTACGCTGCTGGAGCCTGGCT